AAAATTAGTTATATATATAAATCATTAATAATTATTATTAGGCTGCATTAATTATATCTATTTAAATTTAATTGTTTAAAAAAATAAAAAAATTTATTTTATTTTTATTATTAATGCTATATGTATACTTTAAATGATTAATAAAAATAAAGTTATTTTTTAATTTTTAAAAATAAATTAGTTAAAAAATCATAATAAATATATTCTTATCCCGTAGAAAAACCCATTATATTTATAATCCAAATATTCCTTTTAGTTCAATTAGTTCAAACCACTACCAAGTAACTCAAATCTCTATCTAAACACCCCTAAAAACTTTATTTGTACATAATGTTGCTTTCCATCAACCCAAGTCCTTGATGTCAATAGGCATGTTTCATCAGGCCTTGTATCCCAACTGAATTTTGAATACTGAGCGGAAAGATACGGATTATGTCTCATGCATTCTTTGTTTAGGTTCATCGGAATAACAAAGTTAGAAACAAAATCAGAGAATGAAATCTAGCGTTTTCATAAGATTATGCACTAAAGATGATGCCATGTACGAGTTCGATGGCAAATAAAGAAATAAAAACAGTTAAAATTTTACATAAATTTCTAAGTTAACAATTAATATTAAATAAATAAATACCTCAATAGCAAAAGTAAATTTTTTTAAAAAAAATTAATTATATAATGAGATATTATATTATAAAACTATAATATTATGTAATATTAAAATTTTAATATTATAAAAAAAAATCATGTACGGATTGTTTATAGAAAGAAATCATCGATTAAAGAAGTTACTTGAAATAGAGAAGGCGTGCCTTTTCCGTTTTTCGAACATTTTGAAAACTGAAGCCATAAAATTCCATAAATTGGTTTTAGAGAATAGAAGATGGAGGGGAAAAATGGATTCAGTTTGGGTTGCTCTAAAGAGATCAATAAATTGTCAACCAGAGCCATCAGATGTGGTTAATCCAAACAGAATCCGGGGAAGAAAGCCATTTCTATGTGGGTCTTGTTGTTCAAATGCTAGAGACATCATTCATGTAGACAAGAGACGGACAGAGAAGAAGCCGACCACCTGTTTGACGAAAGTCCCCTCTGATATTTCTTGTTCACTTGACGCGGGGTCTCATGGCTTTTTTTGCCATAAATGTGGTGGAAAGTTCTCAGATTCGGAAGCTGTTGAATCACATCATCTCTCCAAGCATGCTAGTAAACATAAAGCGTGATTTTGAAATTCTAGTTTTTCAAATGGGTTAAGGTTAATTGGTTCTTTATATGTATAATTCTTCTTTTTTTTTTTTCTTTCTTTTTCAGTCATTGAACTTGCTAAAGGTAATTCCACCAGGAAAATTGTGGAATTAATTTGCCAAAGAAGCGAGATAAATTCCAAAAACAGTTGCCAGGGGATTGAGAGGGTTTTGAAGGTTCAAAACATGCAAAGAACTATTCATGAATTTGAAGGTTACAGAGAAATGGTAAAGATTAAAGCTGGGAATATTTCTGAGGAAAATTCACGTAACACAGTGGATGGAAATGAGGTTTTGATGTTCTATGGTGCAGCTGTAGCGTGTTCCCTTGGCATGAATAGAACTTCAAACTTATGCACACTGGATCAATGTGGACTGTGTAAAACTCTGAGACATGGATTCTCCCTCAAGAAGGAATCCAATGGAGTCATGGGTGTTTTTACTTCTTCCATAAGTAAAAGTGCTTTTGAGCATATTGAAGTTGATAAAGAAAACCAGACTCTCAAAAAAGCGTTGATAGTCTGCAGGGTAATCGCAGGTCGGGTTCACAGACCTTTGGAAATTTCTCAGGAAATTCAGGATCTATCCTGTTTTGATTCCATAGCTGGAAAACTTGGTCCAGATTCAGACATTGAAGAACTCTATTCACTGAATTCGAGAGCTCTTCTCCCTTGTTTTGTGGTAATCTTCAAAGTTCAAATCCTTTAAAGTAAAATGCTCATTAATTGGAGAACTAATTTGCAATCTTATCTGTCACCGAGAACTTTTTATTTTGAAAATTTTTAATTAGTTAAAAAGTGCATTTATTTATTATATTTTTTATTATTAATTTATATAAAAAATAAAAATTAGTTTTAATTTTATTAATTATTTAATTAAAATGTTTAATGTGTTATTAATATTAAAAATAAAATTTATTTTTATATTTTTATAAAAATTAATGGTAAAAATAAAAGAAATATATTTTTAATTTATACTCTAAAGTATTATGTCAAAGCTTTACTAAGGCTGGGTTAGCACCTAACTAAACAATTTTAATTTCGAGTCAATGTTAAGAATTCTAACATTTATCATAATGCTGAGTAATTAATATTTTAATGTGTAAATATATATATATATATATATATATATTTCAAAGCTATATATTTCAAAGCTTTACCCTGATCTATCATGCAACTCTTGAATCACATACTTAAAAAATTGTACTTCATCCTGAAAAATTCAGAAAATTAGTTGTTACTAGCCTAATCCGCCCGGCTCTGTGGGTGGTCAACGACTGCCAATAATGCTATTGCGGCCGAAGTCCTCCATGCCTATGAAGGCCGAGCGGAGGTGCTCGGTTCGATTCTGCGATTTAGGTTGCAATTAAAAATCAACTAGGACCAAATTATATATATAAAAACCTAAGGATTAAAAAAATGTTAAAACCCTATTTGGGTCCTGAATTATGACCCACAATTTGATCTCTAAACTTAAAAAATCCATAATTTAGTTCTTAAACTTAAAAAATCCTTAATTTGATATCTACTGTTTATCATTTTTACCTAAATTTAGTCCTTCCGCTAATTTTTCATATTAATTAATGGACAAACACAAAAAAAATATTACGTGTCACACAAAAATTGACAAGTAAGCAAAAAAGATGACATGGCCATTCCAACTCATTCCACCCAAGAAAAAAGTTCTTTTTTTTTTTCATTCCTTTCTTTCATCTACCTTTTCTTCAACTTCTGCAAACTCTAACATATCAACCAATCTCTAACATCTCAACCAATCTATTCATCTCAATCAACTTCTACCTTTGTTGGATTCATTATCCTCATCATCAAACAATAAAACCTACAAAAAAACAAAGTTTTATTTAAAAATGTTTTGTCCATAGATTCTTTCGAACCTAGGTGTGTAGGTTCAAAGGAACCCAGTAGGCACCCTTTCTTACTCCTTCCACTTCCTTACCTTGCTTTCTTCATCAATCAATTCTTTATCATCATCAATCAACAAAACCCAAAAAAAAAAAAAAAATTTAATTTTTTGCCCCTTGGTTCCTTGGAACCCAAGGTAGAATTATAATCTCCCTCATGAGGCACTGTCGCTAGGAGGGTTGAGCCGTTGTTGGTCCACATCCATCCCAATCTAAATCTAGTGCTACCAATTTCTTATCATTATGATAGTTAATAGTCTATGTGGTGTAGGTTCTTTTCCCCTAGCACATGTAATTATAGAAACCACATTCCTATGGGGATGGAAATGGCCCTACAAGGTTAAGGAGTGCCTTCCCATCTCCATTTTCACAAATGGCATGGGATAGGGATACTTGGGTAGAACTTGCCTATATGCTCATTACTTTTTTTTTTTTTTTAAACAATTTAACATAAGACGAGATCTAACCTGTCGAAGGGAAAAAGAAAGTGTATCTATTCAATGTAGCTAATGCCATTAGACCCAAAAGGCCAAGTGCACCCATATTCTCATTACTTGTAGGTAAGGGTGGGCATTGATTTGATTCAATTAAAATCAAACCTGAATTGACAGATTTTGTTGGCTGATTTTTTTGAAGTGACAATCAAAGACGGGATCGAATAACACTTTGGTTATTTGGTTTTAACACCAAATTAGTTTATTCGGTTGGTCTCAATCTCAATTTTGTTTTATTCTTGGACTTAGTATTTTTTTGGGGCTTTCACTTTTTACCTCTTTCCGTCTTTCACTTAATGTTTTTAGTGCTAAAAGCCCAAAACAATTGTCTTCCCCTTTTGTTGCATCTTCAAGGATTAAATCATCGAAAACAAAACTTAAAAGAAAAAAAAATCAATGAGATTATTTCTATATTGATGAATCATAAGTACATCATTTTATAATGAATACTCCTATTACCGCAGATGCAATATCTAATGCC